ATTATTACAGTTCTGTTCTACATGTTTTCTCTGTAATTAACAACATGTGTTTCAGTGTAGCTTATGTAAAGTAAAGGAATAATATATTAAAATAATAAATTCCCAAATGTGGTTTGGTTTCCAATGGTGAATACAGCTAAAGAGATTGTGCTTCTAATCAGACACTTTGACTTAAACCTTGCCACAAAATCCCCCCTTTCCCCTCTAAATCCTCTGTCAAATTTATGAAAACAATTGAGTACAACTTATCATGAATCTCCAGAAATGTTTTTTTTTTTTATTGTAATTCTTGAAGTAACTGTGTGATTAATCCTTGCCTTTTCTAGACTCTAAACTATTGGAACAGCTGTCATCTGCACTGGTCTTGAAGATGTTGAATCTCATATCCCAAGAGAACCTAATTATTCCTATCTGATTTGGCTGCCGAATGATCTCCGTAAAAAAAAATATATATATAGGCCAGTTCCTTTTGGTTAATACTGGACTCTCTTTTGTAGAGTAAGCACACGTAAAGTAATATATTTGCTAGCAACTCTATGACAAAATTGTAATGTACCATGAAAATGACCCAGTAAGGGAGTGTTGAATAAAGAGAATTGTCAGAACTAAGGAGAGATGATGTGAGGTTTAAGGACAGAGAAGACTGGGTTAGCCAATATCCAGAACGAAAGGTTAACTATTTAAGTAACCATGTAAAATGCAGACTTTTATAGAATTTAAAAGAGATAGCCAAATGTCTTCTTTGTATAGATCCTTTAAAGTGTCTGTGCCCCATTTCTCGTGTATTAAACATTTTCTGTAAAGCAGGGATGCGCAAGTCATGCATTTCATTTGTAAGTACAAATTAGGAAATGTTAAGCACATTTTTATGCCTGTAAATTCTGTCTATATTAAATATTTGGGTTAAAGCTTCTCACCGGATTTTAGGAATCTATATAAATAAAATTCGACCATAACTGATTTAATGAGGAGGTATGCAGGTACTTGAAAGATCTTCCTTTCTAAAGTTAATCTCTATACATAATTAAAATGGACACATTTTATTCGTTAGTCCTTACACTTAAACACTAGCGCATTGTTGTATGTTATATGATCCATTCGGCCTTGTGGTTGCAGTTGTGGCTCGCGGTAGAATGGTGATGATGGAGAATATTTTGTTTGCCCATATTAAAGTTAAAACCAAGCTGATTCTTTGGACATGACAAAGAGTTCCATGCACTCCAATGGTCTCCATAACAACTAGATCTCAACAAAAAAGAGCATCTTTGGGATAGGGTGGAACAGGAGAGTCTCCAGACGAATGTGGAGTGCACAAATCTGCAGTAATTGCATAATATTAACAGGTGAAAAAAAAAAAAACAATTCAGAAACATCATCTAAAAAGGTCCAAGAAGGATCAAAACATTGCCATGTTATGGTAAATAGAGGATAATCATTTTTTCACCTGTTGGACTGCTACTAATTTCTGGATGCTACATCTAAATTGCAGGAACAATGTCAGCTCCCTCAGAGTTCCTTTTCTGTTGGGTGCCATTTAATTGACCTTCAGTTAAAAGAACACTCCAGACCCTTAGAGCACTTCAGTTTGCTGTAGTGCTTTATGTGTGAAGAGCGTGTTCTTTTTTTCATTTTACAAAAAGTGCATGTTTCAATAGAAATTGACACTTTTATAAAATAACCTTGTGACACCCCCGGCTGTTAATCAGACAACTGGTTGTTTAGCTTAGTGCATTCGGAAGTCTGTGATTAGACAGTCACATAAAATCTGGGCTGGGGAAGAATGGTGGGGCTTTTAAAGGCTACAGACAAGAGATCTGCAGCTTTTTCAAGCAGTTTTTTGATAGATCACCAAAAAAAGTACATAATGAAATGCATGCATGTATTCATTAGGATACAACTATTAAATAGTGATTTTATTTTAAAAAAATAATTATTTATTCCTAGGCAGTGGAGTGTCCCTTAAATGACATGCTCTTACTCAAGAGTCGATGACATTGCATGGTCCAACAATGACGGCTGATGTTATCACAATGTGAAAGTACCACCAATCTTAGATTGGGATTTTAGATGTGTGATCCCCTGACCATGTGTGACACAAATGGCTGTGCATGGGAAAGAAATCACACAGTGTTCCTTTTATGTGTCACATTTGAACTCTAAAAATATTTCAATGAATCTGGAAGATGATAATGCTAATTCTCGCACACGGGTCAAAATGAGACATTAACCCACTATTCTTTCTTAAGAAAACATTTCTGTTGATCACAAGTAAAGGTAATGGAAAAGCGGTAAAGCAAGATCATATTGTTATAGAATAATTTAATGAAAATGTCCATTGTCAAACATGATATAACAGTGAGATGGAGGAAACAGGCATACACCCAGGGTGAACACCGGCTTTGTCAACAAAGGGATATAGTATCAATAAAACACAGATTGGCCAGAATCTGTTCTTCATTGTTAAACATAAAACATATTTTTTTCTTTATAGAACGAAAAAAAGGTTGTCTTTTATAATAATAAAAAAATGATAGAAACTTATGTATAGTTTTCCTACTTTTAAAAAATGTAATTTTTTTCTTAGCAGGTGAGAAGCGGACTGAAGGTGACAATATGCACGCTTTTACTCTGAATTTTTTATCTCTCGTATAAATCCACGTACAAACACGTACAATCACACACTGTTTAGGTAACAGAAAAGCTATCACTATATATCCTAGGACAGATTTAGTGCTATATGGCAAATGATGTGTAAATGTTTTCAATAATGTAAGGTCAATGGTTGAGTGGTAATAGTTTGTGATGCAGTCAATCGGCAGCTCACAGTTTCTCAAAGTGAAAGATGCTGAGATATAATGTAATATTTCTTACAGCATCAAGCGCATCGGACTTGAATGAATGAAAGCACAGAGAGTGGATGTTTATTAACTGGTCACTGAAGATATAATAGTAAACAAAATGACCCTTTTCACGGAGTCAGCCTTCCTCTAAATTGTCAGATCTCAGAATATGTTTGCTATAACCATTAGGAACATACATGAGGGTAACGTGACAATAGGTTTTCTAAAATATACTTCATTTTAGAGTTTTAGAATTCGTTCCATAAAGACAGATCTATATTTACATGGATCCCATGATTGGGAGCCACATTTGCTCTCAATTGTCACTCTATAGATGCCCATAGTCCATATTCCCAAAAAGCATATGGTCACGTTTTTATCTTATTTTAACCAACATTGGAAAATATCAGTTGGAGCTGGAGGGGAAGTTCCATGATAAATTGAGCTTCACTGAAAATGCTGTAGGTCGATATTGGGCCCTTCCAAAAATGTGCATGATATTCAGACCTCCTCAAGGTTACTAGTGTGTAGAGCACAGTTAAAACCCACTGTACGGGCAGAAAACACCAGAAAATGTATTCTTCATATTACTTCAATGAGAAAACAGTAAGGTTATATATAAATGTAATATGCAGACAATATGTTGAAAGCAACTCTGATCTCTTATCTAGCACCCTTATTTTTCCGGGATGCTGTCTTCAGAGATGCTGTCTCCTTTCCATTTTTTTCATAGCTCATTTTACAAGCTCTGCTCATTTGGTAAAGATGTCCTGATCCTAATGTTATAAGAAGGAACTGAACTTCTGTAGCCGGGGGTTTATGTGTTGTCATCGACCCTAACTGCTCACTGGCACATGAGATTTTCTCCAATGCTCAATCTTTTTTTTATTGCTAAATGGCTTCTGGTTGAGCATCATTGATCCTGAAACAAAACATTTAAACCTCATCTAAATTTCCCTCCCCAGCCCAAACACCCTAATTTTTCCAGCCATTTATGCCTTTTACGCCAAGTCACTGGAGATGTTTATTGACTAAATTCCTCATCAGAGGTGTTTCTAATGTATTTGGCAAAATGGATGGAATTGTCTGTTGGAACGCATGGAATTTTAAAAACTTTTATGTATCTCTCCATACCCGATGTGCCATTTCACTCCACCCTACCCATTGTTTGTCTGTTTGTACCCTGCACCCCTATCACCCACTCTTGTATCACTCCTGCCCTCTGGTGTGTTTTTTAAACCCTTACCCAAGTGTGTGTCTCTCCAGCCACATTATCCATGTTTACATCTTCCTCCTACTCCCTCATGTTTCTCTCGAAGCCCCTAACCCCCGTGTGCCATTCCATGTATTATGTATTATTTAATTATATCAGATAAATGTATCTACGCAGCAATAAGGATTCCAAGTTAGTAAATAAAATAAAGCAAAACAGTTATACTCTGGGGCCTATTCAGAATGACATGCTTTAAAATATTTCCTTTTTGTGAAATTTTCAGGTTGCAATCGCATAGGTTCTTCAGATATCGTTGCTTTGTTTTGTTAAACACAGCATGTGGCAGAAGACAGCCTGGCAACATCCCCCTTGTTGGTAAGTCTTGCAACATCAGCACTATATCAGCAGCCCAAAAACATGGTAATTTCTCCCAGAACAAAGCCAATCAGCTTCATGGGCTGGCCATTCCTGTGCATTACATGTTGGCCCAAAGTATTTGTCATGTTCCCAGCCGGCGGGCGCATTTCGTTTCGGTGGCATTCCCACATCGCGCGTTTCGTTGCGGTGGCATTCCACATCGCGCCGAGTACTTACCTATTGTCACTCTGCCGGGTCCGCTCCTGCCAGAGAGTGGACTGGGACCCGGCGGATGCTTATCACTGCAGCAGCATTCCCACACTGCAAGGGGAATGGCGCTGAGTACTCACCTCCTCCTGTGGCTCCTGCTGGTCTCACTCCGAGCAGTCTTGGCACTGACAGACACTCCTGCCCTCATACAGAGGCTGGGTCTGTAATCATTCGAGACGCCGGCCGCTGCAAGTCAGAACCTTTTAAGGTTCTTAATTAACCCCTGAAGTGCCTAACCACTGGGAAGGTGTGTGTGACGTCACACACACATGTTCAACTGTCACATGCTATTTAAACCTTTTTTCACCATTTTTTGCCCTGTTGTGGTTTCCATTGTGGTTATCTGAGAGCGTGTTTCTGGTATTGATTCTTGTGTATTTTGACCTTGGCTTTCTCACTGACTATTCTGATTTCTGTATCCCTTGGACTTTGGATCGTTTCCTGACTATTCTGACTTCTGTATTCCTTGACCTTTGGCTTACCCAAACGTTTATGTATACTCTGTATTCCTGAATTCAGCCTGTCTTGTACTTTTCTTTTTATACGTTATATCCTGCTATTCTAAGGCCCAGTAATACATCTAAGGGTCTTCTTTATTATTTTTACTTAAGTTCTGCATGCTGGGCATATTAGTGTTTCCTGACAGTATTGGAGACTGTGGTGAAAACTCAGAAAGGATGTAGTCATGGTGACAATACATCTTAGAGACTAGTCATGAATCTGGTTGGTGATGTTTGAAATTGTGTGCAGTATAAAAAGATCAAATAACCCCTTATGGAAAAAGTTCTGCAAAACAAACCTGTTAAGACACAAGGGCCTCCTCGGCCACATTGTTAGCCAGTACCTGTCAAGTCGAAGCAGTAATGCTGTGTCATATTGTCTTTTTTAGTAGCAATAGTGTGAGATTTGAGTAAATTCACAAACAAGCATTGAATGGCTTCCTACAATGTTTTTCCCTTAACAGTGTTTATACTCTGTTACACTGTCTTAGCTCTCATTTAGAACCCTGACGGTAAATAGCTGCATAAGCTTTCTCTATAAAAACAGCTGGCAGTTTGTACCTGTTACAAATTACCATCAGGTCTTCAACATTGTCGCACCCTATCTCCAATAGCAGCTGCCATTACAGATGCCAATCACTTGGTGGTAAGACACAGAAAGACTCACCTTAACGTGCGCACTTCACCCTATATGGCTAGTAGCATCAGGCAAGTAGTGGCTGGCTGGTATACATTAGTGAAGTTAAACTTTTTGCAGGATATATAGGGATTTAGCAGTCTTTTACACCTCTTTACAACAGGCCAGAGGCTGGGATTAGCACTTAATGGCAGCAGTATTGAGTTGGAAAAGGGTTCGAAACCAATAGGAAGTAGTGATTACCGGCTGCCATGGAAAATAATGGGAGATTTTAGCTGCAACTTAGTGAATGGCTTTCAGTAGCATTTATCAGTAACTCTCCGTTACTACTAATAACACTTTTCAGATGGCTACTTGACGCTATTCACTAAAAGAAATATAGCAGTGTTTCGATTTCTGTGTTGATTTAAGGCCCCGATGTTTCAGTAAAAATATAAATTGCTCTCCTCTCTACAGCTGTGAGACCATCTTCTCTTGGTTACACCTTGGGATATCATAAAATACTGCTCATCTCATTTCTCATTAAAGGTAAACATAGATAGGGTTATTTGTACGTGAATTCCAAATGAATTTCTAAATTTTATGTCAAAATAGTCGAACTTAAAAAAATTTCAGTCAGCCTGTCCACATCCCTCTTTATACACTCAATCAATACCTTTTGAGGCAACAACCCCACATCATTGCCCCCTGCGTGAAGCACCACAATGTCCGGAACCTGTCCCAAAAGAATTTTATGAAACATTACAGAAATTGCATTCCAACCCCAACCCCGGTAACCAAACCACCAAAGCTGAAACACGGAACTTGGAAAGCCCAGCTGTAGATCACGATGTCGAACTGCAGCTCTCCGATGCGCCCAGCATATGTATGAGTGGCCGACCACCCATGCCATCCGACCTGTAAGACATAATGCAAACACAGACAACCACAAAAACAACAGTGAAACCCAAATTTCCCCATCAACCACCCTTAGGATTTATACCAACTTGTCAGGCCTGACATAAGATCTGAACCTCACCGACTCCCACCTGCCAATCTTCTTCACCCGCTCATCCCCAAAGCCCAGTCTTGCCACTTCAGTAGCTGCGCCAATCCTTAAGGAATGAGTCCCGAATTGGCCCGGGTCCACTCCCAACCTTGCCAACGCCTTCCAAAAAACCCTGAGTAACTGGAACTTAGATAGCGAGTAGCCATCCTCATGCTTAAAATATGAACCCCTGGCCTTCGCCCGCTCCTCCTGGAAGGCCGCTGCGCACCTAACCGGATGCGTTTTCCCACCCGGGAGCTCCCACAACGTAACCAACGTCCCTTTTCCCAATACGTCCATTTTGGACCGCCTCAGGTTAATCGCTACCCTGTTACTCCACACCTTCACATCCACTGCCTGAAGCCCCCCGGCCCCTTGGTGATTGCTGCTGACCAGCTCGCTGACACGAAACGACCCGAAAAAAGCATAACTAAAAACCATGGAGTACAGTGTAACTTCGTACCCTGAAAAACACACCTCGGGCAGCACCCGGACCACCCACTGAAGCAACTCGAACGAGACCGGCCTCCTGGAATCCACCGAAACCTTGCCCCGCCTGAAACCTTTCAATGCCTGCCTAACGAGAAAATGTTTCGTGACATCCTCCCACCCATTAAACTTGAACAAAAAGGCTAACGCTGCTAGTTTGCGCCCGACTACCGCTGCCGAAGCCCCTGAGATGAATGACCTACACAAGAGCCACAACATTGCATCCAACCGGGCTTCCTTTGACTCCACGTATGCTGCACCAGCTCGTCCCATTCCCCCCACACCTTGCTGTACGCAGTCCAGGTAGCGGGTGCCCTGATCAGTCTGCCAAGCATGATGTCCCACCTGCCGGAATCTCTCCCACTGCGAACGAGATAACGCATCAGCAATAACATTCAACAGTCCAGGCACGTGGCGTGCCTGAAAAACAATATTAAACGCATACAGAACAAGACAAAACAGCGAAGAAGCCACACCACCGGGATAGAGGACGCTGAAAGCACATTTACTGCATCTACCACTGCCATATTGTCCAAAAAGAATACAACCTTCTTATCCCTCAACTGTGGACCCCATAAGGACAGTGCTACGACTAACGGGAACAACTCCAAGAATGCCAGGTTGTGGATATGCGGGCTGGCCTTCCACACCGCTGGCCAAGTTCCCGCACACCATTGACCCGAGAAGTAAGCCCCGAAACCGATACTCCCTGATGCATGTAGTCCTCAAGGGGGAGAAGCGAAAAGAGCTCCACGAACTCTCCTTTCCAGATCCTCTCCTTCACCTCTAATTTTATATCACAGCCCAACGGACCCACGAAAGAAACATGTACATTCTGCCACGCGGCCTCCGGGACACCCCCAAGTAAATTGTCCCTCTCGCTCACCAATCCCGGCGCCTCTATCGCGGGGGTCGTACCCCCGTCCCTGACCATGCTGCCCCGTCCCCCGAAACGACCACTGGACTTGACCCAGTGACCTCCCCGAGCTGAGCCCAACACTGACTGCAATCCCTGTCCCTCCTTTTCCCTATACCCCAAGAGTCAATTAACTGCTTGATGCCATCTAAAAGCTCCCCTGACTGCTGCAAAGACAGTGTCTCACCTTCCGCACCCCTTGCCACTGAAGGTCGTGGGGTTGCTGACAGACTGTAGATGTCCTGCCCCAATCGTTCAGCTGCTCTGGGCCGTATTCCCACAGCACTGGGTCTCACCTGATCCGCTGGCGACCTTAAAGACGCCTGTCTGGCAACCGGGTCTGCCTTGCCTGCTGGCGACAGTCCTGATGTCTTCAACGAGCAGCCTGCAACTCCAGCCTCGCCTGACGACGTGTTCGTGCTGCTGCACTGCAACGCCTCCTGTGACCTCCTCCACTTGCGGCCTTCCCGCCGGTAGCCTCACTGCCGCCATCGGGACCTCCTGAAGGGCTCCTTGGATGCCAAGAACCCGGAACCACGCTGGGGCTCAATCTCTGCGGGGGCCTTGTCCTCCTGACAGGCCTCTGACCCAGGGAGCTTCCTGATCCGGACGGCAAAGCATCTCCAAGGCGATCCGTCAGCCACTTGACACCCCTCTCCTGCACTGCTGCACGGCCTCCTTCCAGCCAATCTTCCATCTAGCTGACAACCTGCAGAGGAGACAAAAGAAAAAGCCACACAAATCCTGCCACAACAACAGGTAAGTGCAACTTAGATTAAAGTGATCCCTAGATCTAAAATGGCCACTACTTATACTCCTCTTATAATTCCACCCCACTCCATTTCCTTAAATCAATCCCTAACCACTGACCCTTAGATGCCTATCTCCTGGCAATGTCAAGGCCCACTCCCCTTAGCTATGCTGCTCCATGGGCTACATAATGCTGCTCTCGTAGCTGCAGAAAGGAATCTGTTAGAAAATTCCATCATCTATAATGCCGATGGTGGACTTGCAAAGCTTGCTAAACTGTTGAACCACATTAATTTCAGGGAAATAAAGAAACAGTAGACAAGTAACATTAATAGGTCAGTGTGTTAGTGATGAATGAGCCAATGACTCCAAAGGAAATTTCAGTTTTGTTACACATTGGAATGTTCCAGTAGAACCTCGTCCAGAAACCCTGTGGTCACCTGCCAGACCTTTGTCCGCAACATTTCTTGTTAGTCTGCATGGTGTTAATCTTTATCACTCACACACAACATGTTATCTACTGCTAGAATATGCAATATACTAGACTTAAATCTACAGTCTTCATAAAATCATGAGATACCAAAAAGGTTTATGTCAACAACATTTAAATAATAAAAGATATAAAGATGAATAAAAGATCTTGCACAAAAGTATACAAAGAACATTCGATTGTGTCTGTTTCCTTATTACCCATTTCCCATGGGTAAATAAAAGTGCACAGTCATGTCACGACAATAAAGACCAAACCATACACATGAAACACAGGATACATGCGAGTTTAAGGCCTTTGCTGGAATGGAGTACTTCAGGTTAAGTGAAAACAACTAGCGTAGTTGACCAAATAATAAATAAAGATACATACTAATGTGCTATACTGTACACTACAGAGTCCATATTGAGTCAACTAGCTTATAGTAGAGATAAAATACACATTTTATAATAACAACAAAAAAAACAGATCAAAATCCAACCCAAACTAAGGAAAATAAACAAAAACTAAAAATTATAGGCTCTACAGCAGTTGTGCCCAAAATGTAGATCCCCAGATGTTTTAAAACTACATATTCCATGATGCTTTGTCATTCTATAGACATTCTAAAAGTATGCAAAGCATCAGGGGAATTGCAGTTCTACGACATCTACCTCTTTGGTACCCCTGCTCTACAGTACTCACAGGCAATCTGGAAAGCCTTGCTGGGTCCAAGTTAAGGGCAGTACATATGGACATATATATAAATGTAGACTGAAGAACGTATCTCTCCATAACAAACTATACACAATCTACACCAAATCATAGGTCCAAGCACTACTCAATGGTTCCAGGAAGTCAGTGCCATCTTTCCATTTCCAAATCAATTTATGCAGGGATTTCCCTTAAGCCAGGCGGACAGGCAGGCGGCAGAGTGGAATATAATGAGGAAGAAATGATAAAGAAAACAATTGCACACCTGTTCAAATGAATAATATTGATGACCTGGATGACTGGCCATTTATTAATGCCAGGCCAGGGAATCACTGCAAAGGAGAGACAACACAAGCATTAAACATTCACATATATTGTTATATTGGAATTTTATTACATCGAAAAATATGTACATCGATCTCTGTGATTATGTATCTTTATAGCTGGAGAGACAAACAGAAATATAAGTGAAGACAGACAGACAGACAGACAGATAGATAATGTATAGATAGATTTATAGATAGATAAATAAGACAGATAGATAGATAGATAGATAGATAGATAGATAGATAGATAGATGGATGGATGGATGGATGGATGGATGGATGGATGGATGGATGGATGGATAGATAGATAGATAGATAGATAGATAGATAGATAGATAGATAGATAGATAGATAGATAGATAGATAGATAGATAGATAGATAGATAGATAAGATAGACAGACAGACAGATAGATAGATAGATAGATAGATAGACATACAGACAAACAGACATACAGACAGAAAGATAGATAGATAGATAGATAGATAGATAGATAGATAGATGCATAAATAGATAGATAGATAGATAGATAGATAGATAAGATAGACAGACAGACAGACAGACAGATAGATAGATAGATAGATAGATAGATAGATAGATAGACAGATAGATAGATAGATAGATAGATAGATAGATAGATAGATAGATAGATAGATAGATAGATAGATAGATAGATAGACAGACATACAGACAGAAAGATAGATAGATAGATAGATGCATAAATAGATAGATAGATAGATAGATAGATAGATAGATAAGATAGACAGACAGACAGACAGACAGACAGATAGATAGATAGATAGATAGATAGATAGATAGATGCATAAATAGATAGATAGAGAGACAGACAGACAGACAGATAGATCGATAGATAGATAGATAGATAGATAGATAGATAGATAGACAGACAAACTATAGGTTAGATAGACAAAGAGACTCACACTGATATATAGATATAATGTGAAATTTTTATTTTGCTTAGCTTCCTTCTACCAAACCACTCTAAACAAGAGAAAGTTTGTAATATAATATTACATATTAATATATTATATTATACTTGTTATTGTTTCTTAAATTTGATATTTAACTTATCATTAAAACAACAGTTATAACTGCTCACGTCCTTCCACTCAACCTATTGTTTTCAATCAACAATATTTCTCTTCTCACCAGGAATTTAACACTTGAAAACCTTGCATCTCTTTCATCATCATCATCAAAAAAAAATGAAAAGAAAAAAAACCTTAACAAAACAAGGAATCACAAGACACAGTAATATACTAATCAAGTGAAAGCCCTACTCGCTGACAACACTGAATAAAGAGGGACAGAATAAAAGTGAAAGTGATCCGTCGGTGGAGCTAAATTACCCATCAGACAAGACAAAAAAAATAAAACAGACAAAAACAACAAACAAAAAAAAAAAATCTCGAACTGCTCTCGCTTCTAAATCAGCCAAACATTTTAAACATCCCTGCTGTAATTGGCAATTTTGTAATATTTATTCACAACAGATCTGATTGTCAGCGTCCTACTGGCACCTCTCTGGAGGGTTTGCGTGAAATCAGTTTGAAATGGTGTGTCAATTTTTTTTTCCTGAAGTCACCATCTGGCTGATAGACTGGAGTCTGTTCTAATACACTGACCCAGTGAATCGCTGCTAAGAAATTCCCTCGAGTTTCCTTCGCCTCTCGTAAGATGTTCACTGAGAGCACCGTGTATAGGCAGAGAAGTACTGTGCGTGATGGGTAACAATGATTGGAGAATCTGATTTAGGCAGGGTCTAAACTAAAAGGACGGCACTAAATTAGGTTGGCTGCTGTGCCTCGGCACGCCATTTATGTCCTAATATTTAGTACTTTTTGCTGCCAGCAATTCAAAAAGAAAGAATAGGAAAAAAAAGTTTAAAATGGCAGATACTTGATTTGTATGAAATCTGTAATAAATTCATTTACAATTATTTATATAGTGCCAACATATTCTGCAGTGCTGTACAATAGGTAAACTAGACAAATATTTAATTCTAACAAAACATGTATGACATACAGGAACAGTAGGTGAAGTAACAAAATAAACAAAAAAAATATGTCTGTAGAATATAAAAAGTTGTCACGATCAGGGTCGCTTTTTAACTTTGAATTCTCACTTTACTGATTAACTCACAGCCTTTGCCCAGTTTCTCCTATTTAATGTGCTAGAGAATACACAGCATGACATTATCATGTGCATCCACAGAACCCTTAAAAGGGCACTATTGTCACGAGAACAACTACAGCTCATTGTATTTGTTTTGGTTAGTAGGGTCATTCCCTTAAGGCTTTTTGGTTTGGTTGTTTTTCAGAGAAAATGCAGTGTTTACATTACAGCCTAGGGATATCTCCACTGGCCACTCCTCAAATGGCTGCTAGAAGTGCTTACTGGGACAGTGTTGCACAGTGTGCATCACTGACATTTAGTGTCTCTACCCTCTGCATGCAGACACTAAACTTTCCTCATAGAGATTCATTGATTCAATGCATCTCTATAAGGAGATGCTGATTGGCCAGGGCTGTGTCCGGCTTGTATTGGCTCTGCCCCTCATCTGCCTTCATGACAGTCTCAGCCAATCCAATGCTTTCCTATGTGAAAGAATTGTGATTGGCTCAGTACACCACTTCTGATGATGTCAGCCAAGAAGGCAGATCATGGGCAGATCCAGCAGCAGCAGACTGGAGTAAAGGTAAGATTTTGCTATATTTAGGGGAGGCAGATGGTCAGGGGGGCTAGATGGTGGTTTTAATACTACAGAGTCAGGAATACATGTTTGTGTTCATGACCCTATAGTGTTCCTTTAAGGAAGGTGCCAAAATAAAATTAGAGGGAGATTCCAGGAGTGGTATTGGTCTTCAATGTAATTTTGCTACACTCTAGCACCATACACAAATCAACATCGCTGCTGAACTATTAATAGCTGTAGAAGCACTGCTTGCTGAGCAGTTGAGAGGCTGTCTTAAAGTGACACATTGAGCACAACTCAAAAAAGTGGTTTTGGTGCATACATCTTATCTGACAGTGTAAAACATTACCTTTTCTGAGAAATGGCAATGTTTACATTTTTCAGAGAACACGCCTCTAGACTGGCAGCCACTAGGGGAGCTTCCTCATAGAAGACCTTCAAAAATCAAAGGGCTTCACATTCTAAGATGCTGAACGCATGTATATTTTTTATAGAGAAGCATATTATTGGCAGAGAACGGCAATAGCCCCACATGCACCTTGTTTCTAAAATGCTTCTCTATGAGAAGCGTTGGACTGTAGAAAATTAATCATAACTGATGACTTCATTGGAGGAGCAGTTGTACCCAGGAGACTGTCCCAACACTGAATTACAGGTAGGTTTCACTTTGTTTTAAAAAGAAAATGGGGCATAGTAATCTAAACATATTAAAGAGGCTCTGTCACCCTCTGGGGGTCTTTGCATAATCTGCAAAGACCCCGACAGTGACATCACTGCTGGGCATCAGGTGGTCAGGAGATGCAGGGGAAGGTGAGCGGTACTTACCTGAACATGTCCCTCGCAGCCACTGCCATGACCTTCAATCTGGTCCTCTTCAGCTTCTGGTGTTTCAGCTACCAGAAGCCAACGTCAGCTCTATATTCTTACAAATGCACAAGAGTACAACATAGAGGTCTATGGAGGTCCCGCAAGATCATGGGTCCTCTGTAGAAATATTTTTTTTTTCTGCTTAGCCATCACTAATGAAACCTGGGGACTTGACAATCTTTGAGGAAAAATACTGGAAGTATTCCCTACTTTGTCTCAGTATATCATTTGACTGGGTTGGAATTTGTCAACATGAGTATTTCATGAAGATTTTACCTTTATGAAATACTGAATATGGTGGGGTAGGTGAGAGATGCTTTAAGGTACGCTCTAATGTTTGAAATACATTTATTTATTTTTAATCTTAAATAAATGTTCCTTAAACTATGTCTGTCGATTTTTTGGTCACCATGTCTGTTGATTTTTTGGTCACTGACCACCATAAGAATTTCTGCTGAATTCTGATTGGCTGCATGGACCATAGCACTAATCAGAATACAGCTTTGATTTCCAGTGGTTTTGTTTTTCTAGAATATTGGGATTCTTGCAGCAGTACACAATCTAACTTTCAGTTACAGCCCCGTTACAACTGTCTGTGCCATGTGTTCTTTTCTAGAGCCGTTCAGGTATCTGCGGTGATATTATAGTTGAAGATCTCCATCATTGAAGAATTTCTCAAACACACAACAAGTTCCCCCATTCCTTGGCATATGGTGAAAAAGCCAATGTCGTCTTCAATATACAAGAAAGTAACCAGCTCTCCCTGCAGTGTGACTGTCAGCATTGCCTATGATATAAAGCCCCATTTGTCACTACATGAAGGTTTTTATTTTCCAGTGTCACATGATCTACAAAAGCCAGAGCTTCAATTCATACGTAGATTTTTTTTTTTTTAAACGTCTGAAACAGCATCCTCAAAATCTATATGAGGTGTTACATGATCAAGCGATTTCAGTTGTCAGCAATGAAGCATGTTGCTAAGTAGAATGCCATATTGAAATTGAAAAGAAAACAGCTTCTGCCTTTAACATAGCAAATATTTGATTTTATTTACCCTGGGGGCAGTTACATTGTTGAATATACCTCCTACTGTGACAGCAATGACAGCTTCAATTAATGTCTTCGAGAAAAGCTGTGTGAACACTTAACAAGCAAACAGAACGCCGGCGTATGCAAAGGGATCTTATTTGGGGATTTTAAACGTGTAATATGCTCAAAATGTGATCAGCCGGTAGTTCATTAGGTAATATGCACTCGATGCAATTTAATAAATAAGCATAACTGTGAAATTTTGAGTTGATTCCATTTGTCTGACAGTGCAAATCTCTAAACTAGCTCTGCTGGTCGTTAACGTGCTCTGAGCCACAGGGCCAATGTCTGCTGTTGAATCAATTGTATCACTTACCGATAATTTTATTATTGTGATAAACAGTAAACCTTAACTGTCATTCAAGGGTTGTTTAACAAACGCTGAATTGTAGAGGACTTTAATATCCAAATGGCAATATATAGGCAAACGGAGATGATATGGAAAAATTCTCCAACTTAGCTGTAGTCATAGCTTGGCTGCTTTAGCCTTGATTTTGATGTAATTGTGCTACACTTCAGTGTTTAGTGAATAGGCCTGATTAATCTTTTCCAAAATATTTTCTTTAGCAGATTTGAAGCTATTATTGTCTGCAATGCGGAACACAATACAAACTGCGATTGTTCTTTAATTTATCAGTTATATTCATTATTAATCACTTTTTATGTTTCATTACTGAGAAATTTAAACAATTTTACCGGTATTATGCTCCACACCATTTCATAAATATTTTTATTTATCGTAATAAAAACCCTGCAAATAAATACTTGAAGCACAGTAGATTTCAGTCAGTGCCTCTAACAAAAGCTAACATGAAAATAATTGCAGCCGCAGACATGATACTATTCACAGCCTAAAATATCAACAGATTCACACATCCGGACCAAATTCCTCCAGTTTTTTAAGCGTTGGAAAACATTTCCTTCTTCTGTGTCTTATTTAATTAGGTCCCGTGAAATATCTAAAATAGGCTTCCAAAATGTATCTGTCCAAAATGTATCTGTCGCCCTTCCCTTGTGTAGATTCTTTAAGATTGCATGGGCAGAGATTTTGCAGTGTGTGTATGAACGGTGCTATTTGACAAGAGCTCTGTCATCTCATTGCTCAACACCTAACAATTTGGTCAAATTGATCACCTTAATCTGCAAAGTATTATCAGGGGCATTTTAGGAGGGGGTTAGGAGATACTGTGAGGAATATGCATTAGATGAGGGTTTAGGCAAGAGGGTGATGGGTTAGGATTTAGGGTGAGCAGTTAGGGCTAGGAAATTTGAAGAATCAAGGACGAGTAAGCCAAAATGTAAGCTCTTATTTTATCCTATGGGTGGATCCAGTAGGATTTAGACCAAAAACATCTTATCACATCTGATCTAGGTTTTGGTTAGAAAATAATTGAGGGAAGAGAGAAATCATGGAGAGAAGAATGAAAAGAATGTGATGAAAAATGGTAAAATAATACAATGTCATTGTATTTTCCTTGTGAGACCATGGATTGCTGGTTCATGGTAAATTCAATTCAAGAATTAGGCCAGATGAAATATGAACTGATATGTTTCTCTTTGAGGACTATTCGTTAATAGTTTAAGCTCAAGTATATTGGAAAAAAAAAAACGCATGGAAATGAAGTCGCACTTGAGCAACGTGAAAAGGACACATGTAGCACTGACTAAGCTGCTTCCAACATTGCTGTCTCCAACATTCCAACATTGTTATCTCCAGCATTTCAACATTGTTATCTCCAGCATTTCAACATTGTAGTGTGAGTTCATGGGAAAGGTTAACTCAATATTCCAGCATGTAAACCCAAAGGAAAGCTGATGTGTTATGGCTCTGATGCCGGCTACCTTTCATGGATACCAGAGTTCACAGTGCCAATGGACCCCTTCAAGGTCAGATGAAGACCTTGACAAGTTATACCCTTGCCCTGTTTAGTGAATACCTAAGCTAATATATTCTGTATTTTCATCCAGCAACATAGCATTTGGGTTTAGGACATAGGCAAGCATGAGGCTTATTAAATAAACCTTAAAGTCAAAAGCCAGTGACTAAGTGTACATTTCCATTGCACACAATAGGCATCTTAATTATTCTCATCATCCAAAATCCAACTTGATTTTTAGCAGATGAACCCCAAATATTTATCCAAAATGTTAAATCATTTGAAATGCTTGTTCAATAATATTAAATGGAGGTCATACTTTGTGTTGTGTTCCTAATCTTTAATCTGATGATCTGCTTGGCTTACACATGAAAAATGGAATACTTAGTCAGGTGTATTAACTATATGCAGTTTATACAGAACCCCTACCAGTATAACAAAGTTTCCTATAGCATACTAGTGTAAAAAAACATAATATAATATAAGGACGGTACCACATGGAAGTTCTAAGCAAGACTTACAATGTCAGAGCTGAGTAAAGGTTTCTGGGATGAATGATAGATGGTGTCAGTTGTCACATTCTTCCAAAATACATATGGGAGAATAGGGGTCCTACAAGCTCATGATGACAAACATGCAGTTAACTATAACTTATTTTATTTTAGCTCACAAAGCGCCAACTACAGTTTGACATGTCCTATTCAGTATTATCAAGGCATTACATAACTGTTAATGGCAAGATGGACATTAGCGTCAGCTTTGCATCTTTAAAGGGGCACTGTCACTTACCAGTTTTTTCTTTTATATTTTGTTTACTTATCCCTATATCTAACATATATGTATTTGTCAAGTGTAAAAATTAAATTAAATGAAAATACACACCTCTTTATCCTGTAACTGGGTGCCTCCATCTTAGTTCACTATCAATCATTATTATAAACTCTGCCCTGTTTGCCCTGATTGTGCCAGGAATGAACTGGTTTATAATGTTATTTGCTAAATCATTCATATGAATTCAGAAGAAAATTGAGCATCTCCTGTGAAAAAAAGTGAATTTCAAAGTTTTAACGTACTAAATTCCAGAGAACTGAAAGTTTGCTTTTAGGAATTGGATTGTGGATGGTTTGTCTTAACTATTTTATGTTTAATTTAAATTATTTACAGGTACAAAATAAAAAATATAAAATACTGGAAACAGAAATATTCATTCTATGTTACCAGTTGTTTGAACTATTTGGCAACCGATTAGGCCTAAGTTCTATTTCTACGTTCTAATTTCTAAAGTTGCCAGTGGAGATACTATAGCAGTGGGTACCATGTATATACAACTCGTATAACCCACTGATTGCAAACAGATGAATTCATGCTGTTTTAATAAAAACAACTCTCGCAGTCATCAGTTAATGGTGGGAAACTCCAAAAGTAAACAAAACTCCCTGCTTTACTCTTTCGATTCCCAGTAGTCATTGCCACCGAACTGTTTTTAAATCTTTACTTCTAGAACAAATTGATTTCTCGCTACACTATAAGTTTTCAGATGGATTTAGTGCCTGTTGCAGTTAAAGGCATCCAGGTGCTGCAAACAGAACCATTTTCTTCCCTGTGTCACATCAAACAGCCGTTGTATTAATGTATATATTGTGACACAGCAGCACATGCAATTTTCAGTGTTTATCTTGTGAGCTCTCAAAAAACAGAACCTTTATTGCTCTTTCTCTCCCGTGCCCATAGGCACTAAACATAAACAATTTAACATCATTTGTAATCTGCAGATTCCAGGGGAGGAAATCTATACAATATATAATATATAATATCGCAAAGCAGAGCTGAAAAAATACAACAAAACAGAAAAATCACTCTTTTTATTGAATAAACAGTGACCTTTGGTGGAACGACTGGATTTAAATATGCTATAATTACCATACTATAAAATTAGGTCAAACGCATTGGCACACTCACTATAATATTAAATCACAATTTACAATTCATATTAAGACCCATATGACAGAATTCTTTAACTTATCTATATTTTAAATATTTGCTATTATGGTCAAATATTTCCTATTCTGTTTAAATAATGTCCAGTAAATAATGTTTAAATTAAAATCCAGTGTATTTTAATCTGCATCTGCTGATTTTCGCAGCAATAATGTAGATTTCTTGGGACAAATATTAAGCAGAGACACTGACTTATTCCCAGGGTAGTTCAGAATCTTACTAAGGTCATCGTTAAACAGCTATATTTGAGTAAACTGACAGCTGATCTTAACGTTTCGATAAAAATGTTCATGCTTTAAGTTCAGATGACTTAGACATTATCTTTGCAACTAAGTTTCAACTTCTGATCTAAAAGTTATTCCAATAACTATTTAGTAAATAAATCGTGACATTTATTTGTTCCCTACTTGCAGTGGGAAAAACACCCAAAGTCACTTTGAAACACAACATTAAATACACTTAAAAGGAGACCCTCATTTATTGGAAAGTACTGCTCAAGACTGAAACGGAGGGCAGACATGACTGCTGCCCAGTAGTAAGGGGGATGGCACAAAAGTACAAACATTGTTGCAACTTGGAGGGCAATAAAAAGGAGAACCAGGGGATGGGACTCACCAGTTACCTAGAAGGAGTGTAGGGGATACTGACTCTTTCCCACCCACCCTCCCGGAGTTTCTTGGTACAGTGTTGCTGGTTTCTGGTCTCTGTTCGTGGTTCTGGTTTTATTTTCTCGTTGTCACAGCTCTGGCAGTGCACCTGGCCAGCAAAATGGAAAGTAATGGGAAACGATGAGTCGGCTTCGGGAGTCGCAGCCTGCCGAGGGCTGATGGCGGTAGGCAGGCTGATACGAACTCTGGACAAGGAAGTGGTACCTGTTTGTTGGGGGAAGATACCTAACAGCTGACAGTTGGATAGAATGTAAAATTAATAAAGCTGTGGTCGTTGCCCTTACCCATACTTCTGGTCTCATGTGTTTTTGTTGAGGGCAACAGGGGGAGAGGATTGGTCAGCAGTCAAG